AAAAGTGAATTTGTGAGACATTATGACTTCAAGATTAAAGATACAATCTTCAGAAATCACACTCTTTGTAGATTTCTGTTAATGGAAGCTCTTTCCAGAAATTTGACTTACAAACACCTTCCAGATGGAAGAGGGGAAGTTTGACCTCAATTTCCCAAATATAAACACTCCCGAGAGTGCAAATACAATGGTGAACTGTTGTTGATTCTTTAAATTTGAGTCCTTATGAACTAGAGTGGACACTACCGAACTCACATGTGAAAAAGATTGAAAGAAAGTGGCCTCACAGAGCAGGGCAAGAGCTCAGATCCGTGGAGGGGCCCCGTGAGTGGCGGGTCAGTGACCCTCGGAGAGGCAGCTCCTTTCGACTCCAGGCTGAGCCGCTGGAAGCCCAGGCTCCTCCCTAGCCTGTCCTCCCTCTCCCGTGGACCCGAGGAACCTGCTGCTCTGGGTGGTGGAGCCCCCCAGCCCATCTGAGGGCCTGCAGAGCGGAGCCCATGTGACCCCACTGCAGGCGCCGAGTGTGGTGTGCGGAACATCCAGCAATGGGGCGGAAGGGCCATGGGCAGAGGCCCCACGCAGCCAGCAGATCTTGGTTTTGTGTAAGCTGTCTCGGTCATCAAGCAGGTGCATGGATGCACAGGGTGGAGCTTGGAAGTGCATGAGCTTGGCAGATAACATGACTATTTTTAGTTTAAAAACTTGTTCTCTAAGAAAGAGTCCATAGAATAAAGTTAACGTGGGGGAAACATTTCAAATTAAAATGAGAAACCCTGTGATTTTATGTGACTGTACTTCTCTATCCTGATGACAGCTTTTGTGCACTCATCCCTTCAGAAAATCGCTGGGGTCTCTTGAATCCGCTGAGGCTCCCCCAGGACCCTGCCTCACACAGGGCCATGAATCAACGGTGCTAGAAGCTGAGGTCTCCAGGACGAGGGCACAGGAGTCCCTTCTGTTTGGCAGATTTACAATCCTAGCCTCCCTTCTGAAGGGTGTTTCATTTCCAACAGCCACCTGTATAAATAATTCATTCTCTTCAAATACGCTGAAAACAGGACAGTTGAGCCATGACATCTTCTGGAGGAAGGAGAAGTACACGCATGTTAGGAAGAGGCCGCGTTTCCTGTAAGCTGTCATCTCTGAGGATTTGTGTGATGCTGAATAGGGGTCTAAGTCAACTAGGAAGCTTTCCTTTAGGATCTCAGAAAATTCCAAAATAATATTTCTTTCGTGTAAATTTCAACAGCGATGAAATTTATAAATGGGATGCTTAGAATTTTATCAGAGTTTTGCTCCAGAAAAGTAGCACATGTTACATGCTATATGAGGAGATCCCTCTTATGCCATCTTTCTGGTTCCATGTATATTAACTGTATGATTTGTCAGTCATGCATGTTGGGATTCTTTAGGAAGAGTGTGCATTTGCTTAGGCACACGTGTGCCAGGTTGGAGCTTCCCACGTGCTGCTGGGAGTCAGGACGTCCTTCTCCTGCTATGGCCCCGTCAAGCGTGTAGAGACGATAATCCAGGCTCCACAAGCCAGCTGGTTTGCTAGTCATGGACTCAGAGCTCTGTGGCTTCCTGACTCTCCCTTCCTGATAGCCAGCAAGCTCCTCAAAGGCAAGAACGTCCTTCAGTCCTGGGCATCTCCGCTCCTCAGGGCAGTGGCTGGGCTTGTAGCGGTGAGGCTGCACAAACGTGCATGGGCAACTTGAGTGAGTGAGCACAGAGCCATCAGAGAGACACAGAGAGCTGGAGAGTATGGACAGATAGATCACGGATGCACACGCGTGCTCTGTCACCCAGTCGTGTCCGACTCTGCGACACCAGGGGCGCCTCTGTCCATGGCATTTTCCCAGCAAGAATACTGGAAGGGGTTGCCATTTCCTCCTTCACGGGAGCTCCCCAACACAGTGATTGATCCTGTGTCTCCTGCATCTCCTGCATTTGCAGGTAGATTCTTTACCACTGAGACAGCTGGGAGGCCTAGATGATGATAGACAGACAGATAGATTCATAGATAGATGGATGGATAGGTGGATAGATAGATTCTTAGGGCTTCCCTGGTGGCACTAGTGGTAAAGAACCTGCCTGTCGCTGCCGGAGACATAAAAAGATGCAGGTTCGATCCCTGGGTCAGGAAGATCCTCTGGAAGAGGGCACAGCAACCCACTCCGGTGTTCTTGCCTGGAGAATCCCATGGACAGAGGAGCCTGGTGAGCTACAGTCCATGGGGTTGCAAAGAGTCGGACACGACTGAGCACACACACACACAGATGCACAGATAGGTGGATAGACAGACAGGCAGACATGCCCTGGCTAAATCCCTGGCCTAGATCCCTGCTGAATGCACTCAGAGTCTGCACTGAGGACATGAGGAGGCTCCTCCAGGTTGCTCAGCAGGTGCACAATCACCCTCTGGACGCAGCTCTCTGTGTGAACGATGCTCGGTCCAGAAGCACAAGCTGGATCGCGGTTCTGTGACAGCGCTTCTACAGGGAGCCAAGTTAATGCCATCCAGAGTATGTTTCCTTCTGATGATTTAAGTGGATATCGGCTTGAACTCAAAGAAGCCAGAGAGATGAAGGATTAGCCTGTCCCTAGACGATGGTCTTTTGACAAGAGATGAATAGTATTATCTCAAGACACATAGCCTGGCAAGAGCCTCAGGAAACATCCAGTCCTTGCTAGCTGAACAACAGGCACCATATGCTTTAGTGATCATGAGGCCAGCCTGACACAGAGCTTTCACTGTGCAGAGATAGGGGCTGGCTGCCTCCCTGAGTCAAGTATAAATCATGGCCTTATTTGTAGATTTGATTTTTTAGATGGAATAAGGGCTTCAAATTTCCATTCTACATTTTAAATAATTTCTTGTTTTATTAAAAAGTCAAAGAGGATGACCGAGTAGTTTCCATCCTAGTGTGTGATGCTGTGTAAAGTTGTGTGATGCTGTGTGAAAATGTGCCCCTGACACACGAGGGCAGGAGCCCATTGCTTTCACTCTATCAGCATTGTCAGGAGGTCAGGATTTTTTGCTTGTTTAGAGTCAACTAGAAAACTTTCCTTGAAGATCTCAGAAAATTCCAAAATAACATTTCTTTCATGTAAATTTCAATAGCAATGAAATTTATAAATGGGATGCTTAGAATTTTATCAGAGTTCTGTTCTGAAAAAGCAGCACATGTAACTTAGTACGTGAGGCGGTCATTCCAATGCCCTCTTTCTGGCCTCATGTATATTAATTATCTGTGGATGGGCTCAGAGGTCAGAATCCAGTGGCAGGAAGCTAGGGGACGTTGGGTGAATTTACATGAAGTGGTCTGACCGCATGTGTGTATAAGAAGATAGTGGCGACACTGAGAGTAGGAAGGAGACAGACTGTGGCAGAGGAGTGTTCAGCCAGGTACTAGAATGACTCAGCCAAAGGAAAATAAAGGCCCCAATGAAGCAGTGTCAAAGGTTTGTAGACATTACTGCTTTGTCACTGATTGGGTCTTCTGGATAAGAATCTCCATCTTTACATTTCTTTTAAATCATTTCCCTTTCTTAAACTGTGTTTGTGTCCTGGAGGCTCAGTGGTAGAGTCTGCCTGCAATGCAGCAGATGCCAGAGATATGGGTTCGATCCTTTGTTAGGAAGATGCCCTGCAGAAGAGCTTGGCAATCTACTCCAGAATTCTTGCCTGGAGAATGCCATGGACAGAGGAGCCTGGCGGGCTACAGTCTATGGGGTCGCAAAAGAGTTGGACATGCTTTAGCTACTAAACAACAGCAACAGACAACCTATTCATGTTTCATGTATTTTAAATACAAACCATCTCCTATACCTTTTTGGAAGTGGGTGTGATTCAACTAATGACTTTTATATAAATAGCATTTCTTTCCTCTTATCACAGTAGTTTTCCAGAACAAGTCATCGGAAGGCATGTGCATCTAATGGAATAGAAATCAGAAGAGGCCAGTCCTGTCACTGACTCGAGTCTGTGTCCCTGACACACACATGCAGAATCAGAGTGATGTTGATGCTGTTTAAGTGAGGCACACCGACGGTGTGGCGGCGTCTGCTTCGCATCCCGGGTGAGGCTCTGAAGTCCTCCATGACGCTCCGGTGCTTGTCCCTGAGATGAGCAAAGACAGGAAACTGCTCGCCCTGCAGAGCCGGACAGGGCCTCATGCCGGGTCCTCTCCACCCTCCTGCTGGCGGATGCTGGCCCTGAAGTTGTCTCCTTGGTCTCTCCTGGGCCTCGGGGACTGGGGGGTGGGGAGGTGGAAGCCCGTGAGGATAGCAGTCCCCTCCCTCCAGGGCTGGTCCCAGCACATCCGTCTCTCCCAAGAGCCATCTCTGTTTTTAAAAATAGAAACTAGGTGGGAGCTAGCTTCCAGAAAACAACTTTTTGGACATTTTCCCAGCATAGAGCATTTCCCCTCTCTTTCTCCAAAGCATTTCTAGCCGCAGATCAGCTTCCAGGAAGGGCTGACCCGTGGCAGGACGAGCGGGTGTCGGGTTCAGTGGTGTGATGTGAGGCTAGGCCTGACGGCTCCGCTGCCTGGATTCCCCAGCACCCTGGACACCCCACACCCCCCACCCACCCTCAGACTCCTTCCCACTCCTGCCCACCCCCCAAACAGCCCCTTCTCCGTCCGCAAGGAGACCTGCCCGGGGTCAGCTGTGTGACAAGCAGCCAGGAGGGCATCGCTCCTGAGTCACCTGGCGAAACATTAGCAGCCGTGTCCTCCTCTTTCCAGTTTGTGACAGTGACATACATCACCTTGTCAGTTTAAGGGTACAGTGTGAGGGTTTCACTCATATTTGTGAAACGATCACCAGAATTAGCTGAATTATCATCCATCATCTCAAATCCGTGGACGAAAAAGAAAATTTAAGTTCCAACCCTGAGAATTCTCAGGAACCCTTCAGCCTTTTTCTCTCAACACATCCACGGAGGTTGACTTTTTCAGCCAGTTTTTGAGATGGAGAAGCAGAAGGCTGATAACGGAGGCCCTGGAAAGGGGACGCCGGGCCCAGGGCGGGGATGTGGCCTGGAGGCGCCCAGGATTCGCTGGTTGGGGGCCCCCAAGAAGCCGCCCCGCAACAGGCCAGGGTCAGCCCCGCAGTGAAAGCCCCTGGTCCCCCCACGAAGGGCGGGCAGGCGGCCAGGAAGGGCTGGGAAGGAAAGCGGTCCCAGCGGAGACAGAAGCGTCGAGCAGCGCTGGTGACAAGTGCAGCGCCCGCAGGGTCGGGGTGATGGGCCTGACTCCTCCGCCTCGTCCACCGACCCCCAAAGCCCGGGCCTCCCCGCATCGCTGGGGCCTTCTCTGCGAGCGGCCTCAAAGCTGCTGCGGATCCCTAAGGCTTCAGCTGAAGTCGCGGGCCAGGCACCGGGCCCCTAAATCACTCTGGAGCCTTCGGGTCCCGCTTCAGGCGCGCGGCAAGCAAGTCCGGTACCAGCCTGGCGGGCCTGGGGGTGCCAGCCCCTCCCGAGGCAGCTGCCCCGCAGGAAACGGCCTTGCGTGCCCGTCCCCGATGCAGGACCCGGGCTGAGCCTGACAGCGCAGGACCGACACCCGCAGGCCGGACCCCGACGCCTCCCGCCTCAGGGGTCCTGCACCCCGTTCCCAAGGGCTCTCAGAGGGGCCGGGGCAGGCGAAGCTCTCCGCCTTCATCCCAGTCAGGGCACCTCCAGAACGTCGCAGGCAAGTCACACGGAGTGAAGCGTGACAGGCGAGGCGTCTGCCTGGGGACCACCCGCCGCCGGGAGCCGCCGCCGGGAGCCGCCGCCTCGGGCCCCAGGCAGGGCGGCCGTCCTGCTCGCCAGAGGAGGCACCTCCAAGGCAGCGCGGTTTCCCCAGCAGGGGTTCATGGACTCTGCTGCAGACGGTGACACTGACAGCGGCAAAGCCTGCACCAGAAATCCGTGTGAATGGGGCTATGTCTAATATTGCGGTCAGGGGGGTGATACTCCGCACAGAGTTTTTTCTAAGTTTTAAAAGCCTTGTCTTACTCTGTGAGTCACAATTTTAAAATGCAAAAAAAACAAATCATTTAAGGGTGCAAACTATGTAAATCCTTGAAAAACTGCTTTACTTAACAATAGCACTTGAAAAAGTTATTAAAAACATTTTTGGGTTACTTTTTATATACATCTAAGTGTATATGTGTTTTAATTCTCTATGATACATCTATTTCTCAATGCCTCTTTTTTGGTGACTACCTCACCCAGCTACTCACAGGGATTTCTTCTGAATATCAGTCTCTTTGGACTTGTGAGGACAGCATATTTTAAAATGACTTCGGGCACAGGGATGACCGTGAGGGGTGGGGTGGGGAGGCAGGGAGCAGGGGTCCAGGATGGGGGTCACATGTGCACCCATGGCTGATTCCTGTCAACGGATGGAAAAAACCACTGCAACATTGTAGTCGGCCTCCCCTCCTTTAATAAATTAAGATAAATTAATCTTTAAAAATGCTTTGGGATTGTGACCCCAATTACAGTGAAGGAGAAAAAAATGATAAGATTTAAAAGAAAGCTCGAAAAGCAGCAGCAGCATTCATTTATATCATAATTATTTTCCCATCTTCTCATTTTCTTTCACTTTTTTGAAGACCATAAATTTATTTTTTCTCTCAGTAAACTCTTTTCTCTTTTCTTGATTTCTACCAAGAATTTTCTCTTTTGTGGCTAAAGAAGATAGGACTACTCACGGTTTCTTTTCAAAATAAATACAATTTTGACTTTTAAAGGTAAACAGACGGGAAAGAAAGCCTTTCCACCAAAGGCTGTCAGGCAGCTGAGCAGAACCGTGGAGCTTGTGGTTCCCTGGGACCCCTGACTCTTTCAAGCTGGAGGTGTGTGTGCATCGGATCTGCTCTAGGAAGTATGACTCGGCCTGCTCATACTGTCCTCTAACCATCACCAAGTTATTTCTGTGTATTTTTAATGCCATTGCCTTGGCGTCCACTCTAACAGCGGCTCTGAGCTCGGTGGGCCCAGAGAGCTGAAGCACCAGGTTCTCTCCCTCAACCCGTTTTCCATCAGCCAAACCCCAAGGAAATAAGGTCACACTGGACCGGTTCCTGGAGCTCACACACTGGCTCTGTTCACGCTGTGAGGACAAGTCCCTGCCAACTCACCATCCTCAAGTTCAGATGGAAACTTGGGTCTGGGAGTCTCCTCCTCGAGAGCCAGCAGTAGTGCCCCAGTTCTCGCACTCACTCATTCATTCACTCACTCACTCGTTAATTCACTCACTCACTCACTCACTCAATCATCAATTCACTCACCCATTCATTCACTCACCAACTCATTCATTCTAATCATGTGTCAAACCCAACTTTGTTTAAGCTGTTGTAAATTCTGACTAGAAAACATTTTTCTTATCCTCCTAAGAGCTTAAATTTATTCAATAACTCTTAAGAGAACTTTTTTATGGAGTGAGAATGAACATGTCACAGGACCAGGAAGAACATACTTTTGTAATGATTCGGTTTTTCTCTCACTGTTGCTTTGTGGTCTGCCCACGTAGATACCTGTAGCTCTAGTTCACTCATTAACAATTGAATACTACAAATTCAGCACCATTTAGATTATTTCTGTTATCTCACTGCAATCAGCATGTGTAATTATTGACTCTTAAGTGCATGAAAAGTGCATTGTTAATAAAAGTGATCACATTCTCTTAATTAGGAGCCACCCATGAGAAAAGCGAGTAGCAGGAAGATGTGCAGCAGCAAGAACATTGCAGGAGGAGCTGGAATGAAGCCCCGCAGTCCTGGGTAGCTGGAGAGGCAGGAACATATGAGCCAGCGGGCCCACCTGTCTCCCTGCACGAGCCGGGCAGTGATGCTGCTCATCAGGGAGGGGGCCTGCAGCACAGACCCTTAGGGTCTGGGGTGAGGTCGGCTTGGAAGGAGGGCAGGAGCTCTTGACCCTGAACGCAGAGTGTGGATCGGGCCCCAGATGTCATAGGCTTTCTTGGGAGAGAGGGTCCCAGAGAACATTCTCAAGATAAAGTACCTACTGAGGTGTTTCCATTGTTATTCCACCCAGGGAGAACTCAAGTTACTCACCCAAATCACATGGATACATGTGTGGGTGGCGGTAGCCGGATGCAGGGATGGGGTGGATGTTCGAAACGAGCCACAGGACAAAGGCCTCATCATAGTTTCATGCAGGTAAACCACGTGGTCTGATGGGGGGGCGGGGTCTGTGCCCACTGAGCCCAGAGCAGACATCAGACAGGACGTAATGTTGCTTCAGCCCCATTTTCAGATCCATGTTTGGTGTCAGGAGAAACAGACTGGGTGATGGCAAAAGAGCCAGAAGGGGATCATCTCCTCACTGAGGCCACAAAGCCACGTGGATTTTGTGCCTGGAGAGTTAGGATTAACGGGATTCTCATGAGAGTGGCTGATTCTCCCAGAGAACTTGGCAGCTGATGCAAAGTCTTTCTACAGTCAGTTTCCTCCTTTGTGTAGATTTTGTGGGATGAGACCTATAGGAATTGCTGGTTTGGGCTCCAGTTTGATAACTAAGCAGGTGACTTGAAGGAATACCCCTATTTCACTGAGGCCCCTGGCTTTCATCCAAAGTCTGAGCATCATCTGCTGTGTAATAAATGTTTCATTTCCTGTTTCTTCTTCCCATTGAAAGAAAACTCAGAAATTACATTAATTCATTGTGACAATTTTTTAATGATAGGAAAAGCCTTTAGTAGAAAATAAAATTATTCATATAAACGAGGCTGGTATAACCTGGGAAAATAAGCTAAAGGATTAGCCAGACAGATACCTTCCAAAGACTCATGTACTTTCCCCGGGAGTGAGCCATCAGCTGGAAACACAGCATAGACACGAGTAGGCAGGCTGGCCTCCTGCCAGTCCTGGGGCTCGTGGAGGGGGCTGACCCACAGAGGCGCCCGATTTACAGGGCAAACACCCCACACAGGGACCAGACAACCCAAACTGCAGAACCAGGCAGGTCTCAGGAGAAGACTTTTTTTAAGGTTTTTAAACTTTTTAAATATATTTCTGGCTGTGCTGGGTCTTTGTTGCTGTGGGCGGTCTTTCTCTAGTTGCGGTAAGTGGGGGCTTTTCATTGCGGTGGCTCCTGCTGCCGCGGAGCACATGCCCTAGAGCACAGGCTTCAGCAGTTGGCGCTCGGGCTCCGAAGTCGTGGCTCCCAGGCTAAAGCACATGATCGGCAGCTGTGGTGCATGGCCTTAGCTGCCCCACGCACGTGGAGGCTCCCAAGGCCAGGAGTCAAACTGGTGTCCCCTGCACCGGCAGGCTGATTCTTAACCACTGGGCCACGAGGGAAGTCCCAAGAAGAGGTTTTAAGCTTGACTCTGAGGAATCCCTCTGCATAACTTCAGTGCAAATGTGTGTGTTGACTGTTATGTTTGGAAAGACCCCTGCAGGTGGGAGAATGACATGTTTGTGCACGCCAGTGTCATTGCTTTAAGAAAATCAGAACAAGCAGGAAAGCATGCCAGTGGCAGAGGGTGTTGAAACAAAGTGGACGTGCAGTCAAAATGTGCTTCTGTGATTGGCTGAAAATAGGGTGTCCGATAATTAATGTAACATGTTCAAAAAAGAAATGTGACTGAGTCCATATTAGAAGGCAAAATTTGGGCAAAAACAGAAACAAGGCAAAAATGTATAAAACTAGCATGAACAGGTTTTGCTAAGAAATAAGCCACACTGCATTTCTGGAAGTGTCCCTGCCCCTATATTTACCCCGAGTCCTGCTCCCCAGCCCCTCAGCTTAGCCCCCACCCCGCGTGTGTTTCACACAATCACACAGAGACGTGTCTTCTTTTCTTCTTTTTCTTTCTACACATCTTGGCTCACTTAGTACAGGAGATAGGGATCAAGACCATCCCCAAGAAAAAGAAATGCAAAAAAGCAAAATGGCTGTCTGAAGAGGCCTTACAAATAGCTGTAAAAAGAAGAGAAGCAAAAAGCAAAGGAGAAAAGGAAAGATATTCCTGTTTGAATGCAGAGTTCCAAAGAATAGCAAGGAGAGATAAGAAAGCCTTCCTCAGTGATCACTGTAAAGAAATAGAGGAAAACAATAGAATGGGAAAGACTAGAGATCTCTTCAAGAAAATTAGAGATACCAAGGGAACTTTCCATGCAAAGATGGGCTCAATAAAGGACAGAAATGGTATGGACATAACAGAAGCAGAAGATATTAAGAAGAGGTGGCAAGAATACACAGAACTGTACAAAAAAGATCTTCACGACCCAGATAATCATGAAAGTGTGATCACTCACCTCGAGTCAGACATCCTGGAATGTGAAGTCAGGTGGGCCTTAGGAAGCGTCACTACGAACAAAGCTAGTGGAAGTGATGGAGTTTCAGTTGAGCTGTTTCAAACCCTAAAAGATGATGCTGTGAAAGCACTGCCCTCAATATGCCAGCAAATTTGGAACACTCAGCAGCGGCCGCAGGACTGGAAAAGGTCGGGTTTCATTCCAATCCCAAAGAAAGGTAATGCCAAGGAATGTTTAAACTACCACACAGTTACACTCATCTCACACACTAGTAAAGTAATGCTCAAAATTCTCCAAGCCAAGCTTCAGCAATATGTGAACCGTGAACTTCCAGATGTTCAAGGTGGTTTTAGAAAAGGCAAAGGAACTAGAGATCAAATTGCCAACATCCACTGGATTATTGAAAAAGAAGAGAGTTCCAGAAAAACATCTATTTCTGCTTTATTGACTATGCCAAAGCCTTTGACTGTGTGGATCACAACAAACTGTGGAAAATTCTGAAAGAGATGGGAATACCAGACCACCTGACCTGCCTCTAGAGAAACCTGTGTACAGGTCAGGAAGCAACAGTTAGAACTGGATATGGAACAACAGATTGGTTCCAAATAGGAAAAGGAGTATGTCAAGGCTGTATATTGTCACACTGCTTATTTAACTTATATGCAGAGGACATCGTGAGAAATGCTGGGCTGGAGGAAGCAGAAGCTGGAATCAAGTTTGCCGGGAGAAATATCAATAACCTCCAATATGTAGATGACACCACCCTTACGGCAGAAAGTGAAGAGGAACTAAAAAGCCTCTGGATGAAAGTGAAAGAGGAGAGTGAAAAGTTGGCTTAAAGCTCAACATTCAGAAAACTAGGATCATGGTATCCAGTCCCATCACTTCATGGTAAATAGATGGGGAAACAGTGGAAACAGTGGCAGACTTTATTTTTCTGGGCTCCAAAACACTGCAAGATGGTGATTGCAGCCATGAAATTAAAAGACACTTGCTCCTTGGAAGGAAAGTTATGACCAACCTAGACAGCATATTAAAAAGCAGAGACATTACTTTTCCAACAAAGGTCCGTCTAGTCAAGGCTATGGTTTTTCCAGTGGTCATGTATGGATGTGAGAGTTGGATGGTGAAGAAAGTTGAGTGCAGAAGAATTGATGCTTTTGAACTGTGGTGGTGGAGAAGACTCTTGAGAGTCTGTTGGATTGCAAGGAGATCCAACCAGTCCATCCTAAAGGAGATCCGTCCTGGGTGTTCATTGGAAGGACTGATGTTGAAGCTGAGACACCAATACTTTGACCACCTCATGTGAAAAGTTGACTCATTGGAAAAGACCCTGATGCTGGGGAAGATTGAGGGCAGGAGGAGAAGGGGATGACAGAGGATGAGATGGTTGGATGGCATCACCAACACAATGGGCATGGGTTCGGGTGGACTCCGGAAGTTAGTGATGGACAGGGAGGCCTGGCGTGCTGTGATTCATGGGGTCACAAAGAGTCGGACATGACTGAGCGACTGAATTGAACTGAACTGGCCCACTTAGTGACACTCCCTTTCTGTCTCACAACTCAGAGTATTTTCCTATGTGGGCACAACAATTTGTTGGACTTGCCTACGACATACAGACATGCAGGTTACTGTCAGTGTTATGTGGATTCAACGAGACAGTCAGTAACTCCATGTGTTTGCATTCTGTGTCATGGAGAGTCATCCTCAGGGGAAGTTCCTGAAAGAGGGATTGCTCAACCAGAACACAAATGCACATGTAATGTTGACAAATGTTGCTGAAGGCTACTTCAAAAAGGGGGGTAGCAGCTTTCTTTCTGCAGGTCTTTTCCCCAAGGCCTCACATAGGGGCAGCCAAGACTAAGAGACCAATGGCAACTCGCTCTCAGATGATCCGCGTTTCTCAGGTGGTGAGTGAGCCTCGTATCCTATATCTTCGCTGCCACGTCCTCCTATTAATAGCAGCTTTGTTGAGATACGACCCACATACCACGAAATCCACCCTTCAAGCTGCCCGATCCAGGTGCGGGGTTATGTTTGCTTTGAGTGTTCTCACAGCTTGCCCCCTCACTGATGAGGGTGTTTCCATCAGCCCACCGGCAGGCACTCCTTACCTCTCCTCCCTCCAAGGTCCTGGCCACACCAAGGCACCTCGCTCTCTACAGAGGGACCTGATCTGATGTCAAGAGCTGTGGGCTCATGCATCTCTGCGACAAGCCTCTTCTGCCTGGTTTATCCATGCTGCAGCTGGCAGAAACACTCCATGCTTTTTATTGTGGGATAATATCCCCTTGGACAGAATAACACATGTTATTTGACCATTAGTCATTTGTTGAGCATTTAGGTTGTTTTCCCACTTTAGGTACTCTGAGTAATGCTTGTGTGCTTTTGTGGACATGCGATTTTAATTTTCTTGAACAGATACCTAGGAATGGAAGTACTGAATCATATGGCAACAAGTTTACTATTTTTAGAAAAAGCCAAAGCTGAGCTGTTTTTCCAAAATGGCTGCATTTTACATTCTCACAAGCAAGGATGAGGAATCCAGTTTCTCTTCATCTTTGCCAGTGTGTATTTTTGTCTTTTTGTTTTAGCCTCCAAATGTTTTGATGTGCATTCCCTTGATGCCTAATAACATTGAGTAACTCTTCATACGTTCACCGAATAGTTATATATCATATTTAGAGCAACCTCCTCTCACATCCTTTGCCCATTTTAAAGAAAATGTATTACCTGATTTTTCATTTTTATTTGCAGCTGTTATTCATGTATCCTGGATAAGATCCGTTTATCAAATATGTACTCTGCAAATATGTTGTCTCATTCTGTAAATTTTTACTTTCTTTAGGTGAAGAACAGATTTTAAGTTTTTTTTAAAAATTAATTTATTTATTTTAATTAGAGGTTAATTACTTTACAACATTGTAGTGGTTTTTGCCATACATTGGCATGAATCAGCCATGGGTGTACATGTGTCCCCCATCCTGAACCCCCCTCCCACCTCCCTCCCATCCCATCCCTCAGGGTCGTCCCAGTGTACCAGCCCCGAGCACCCTGTCTCATGCATCAAACCCGGACTGGCGATCTATTTCACATATGGTAATATACATGTTTCAATGCTATTCTCTCAAATCATCCCAGCCTCGCCTTCTCCCACAGAGTCCAAAAGTCTGTGTCTCTTTTGCTGTCTTGCACATAGTGTCATCATTACCATCTTTCTAAATTCCATATATATGCGTTAATACACTGTATTGGTATTTTTCTTTCTGACTTACTTCACTCTGTGTGATAGGCTCCAGTTTCATCCACCTCATTAGAACTGATTCAAATGCATTCTTTTTAATAGCTGAGTAATATTCCATTGCCAGGGGAAATATCAATAACCTCAGATATGCAGATGACACCATCCTTATGGTAGAAAGTGAAGAGGAACTAAAAAGCCTCTTGATGAAAGTGAAGGAGGAGAGTGAAAAAGTTGGCTTAAAGCTCAACATTCAGAAAACTAAGATCATGGCATCTGGTCCCATCACTTCATGGGAAATAGATGGGGAAACAGTGGAGACAATGGCTGACTTTATTTTTCTGCAGATGGTGATTGCAGCAATGAAATTAAAAGATGCTTACTCCTTAGAAGGAAAGTTATAACCAACCTGGATAGCATATTTAAAAGCAGAGACATTACTTTGCCAACAAAGGTCCATCTAGTCAAGGCTATGGTTTTTCCAGTGGTCACATATGGATGTGAGAGTTGGACAGTGAAGACAGCTGAGTGCCAAAGAATGCTTTTGAACTGTTGTGTTGGAGAAGACTCTTGAGAGTCCCTTGGACTGCAAGGAGATCCAACCAGTCCATCCTAAAGGAGATCAGTCCTGGGTGTTCATTGGAAGGACTGATGTTGAAGCTGAAACACCAATACTTTGACCACCTCATGTGAAGAGTTGACTCATTGGAAAATACCCTGATGCTGGGAAAGATTGAGGGCAGGAGGAGAAGGGGACGACAGAGGGTGAGATGGCTGGATGGCATCACCGACTCAATGGACATGGGTTTGGGTGGACTCTGGGAGTTGGTGATGGACAGGGAAGCCTGGTGTGCTGTGATTCATGGGCTTGCAAAGAGTCAGACATGACTGAGCGACTGAACTGATATTCCATTGTGTATATGTACCACAGCTTTCTTATCCATTTGTCTGCTGATGGGCATCTAGGTTGCTTCCATGTCCTGGCTATTATAAACAGTGCTGTGATGAACATTGGGGTGCACGTGTCTCTTTCAATTCTGGTTTCCTCAGTGTGTATGCCCAGCAGTGGGATTGCTGAGTCATATGGCAGTTCTATTTCCAGTTTTTTAAGGAATCTCCACACTTTTCTCCATAGTGGCTGTTCTAGTTTGTATTCCCACCAACAGTGTAAGAGGGTTCCCATTTCTCCACACCATCTGCAGCATTTATTGTTTGTAGACTTTTAGATGGCAGCCATTCTGACCAGCGTGAGATGGTACCTCACTGTGGTTTTGATTTGCATTTCTCTGATAATGAGTGATGTTGAGCATCTTTTCATGTGTTTGTTAGCCATCTGTATGTCTTCTTTGGAGAAATGTCTGTTTAGTTCTTTGGCCCATTTTTTGATTGGGTCGTTTATTTTTCTGGAATTGAGCTGCAGGAGCTGCTTGTTTATTTTAGAGATTAATTCTTTGTCAGTTGCTTCATTTGCTATTATTTTCTTCCATCCTGAAAGCTGCCTTTTCACCTTGCTTATAGTTTCCTTAGTTGTGCAAAAGCTTTTAAGTTTAATTAGGTCCCACTTGTTTATTTTTGCTTTTATTTCCATTACTCTGGGAGGTGGGTCATAGAGGATCCTGCTATAATTTATGTCAGAGTTTTGCCTATGTTTTCCTCTAGGAGTTTTAGATTTTCAGATTTTCATGAAATTCTGTTTAAAGACCACAAAAGCCACTCAGCCTTTTTAATCTTTTCTTTGTGTTATATACAGTATATTATATATTGTTATTGTTTAGTTCCTAAGTCGTGCCCAAGTCTTTGTGACGCCTTGGATGGTAGTCTGCCAGGCCTCTCTATCCACAGGATTTCCCAGGCAAGAATACTGGAGTGGGTTATCATTTCCTTCTCCAGGGGACCTTCCTGACCCAGGGTATTATATATATATATATATATCTGTACATAAATGCTGGATTTTTAGTCTGCTCAAATTGCAGACCTCTTTCTTTCTCTCCTTCTCCCACGTGCCCAGGTTTCATGGCCTCCCCTTCCTTCCTACTTCCTTCCTTCTTTCTTTTTTGTTATGAGAGGTACTCTGGGGATGCAGGCTCCAGTCCTCTCACGTTTCTAAGACGCCTCCTCTCAGAGGTCAGGGGCCTTGTCGCTGGCGATCGCTGTTTTTCTGGGTTTAAGGGGAATGGATATGAGAGGTTTGAGTCACCTCTTTGTTGTGCCCTCTGACGCCGAGCGCCTCCCTCACCCCCGAGGCGCCTGTCTGCACTGGCAGCGGAGGCATCGCGTCTGAGGGCCCCGGTGGATGCTGCTCTCAGTGCGAATGTCCGCCAGCTCACGGGTTGCACCCGCTCCCCCTCACTGAGCAGCCCCTGATGGCTGTGGGTGCACGGGCTGCCAGCCTTGTCCCTGGACACTCCAGAACTGGGTTCAGCACCTCTGGAGACAAACAGCCAACGGCCACAGACCAAGAGTTGCTCCTGTGAGCAGCTTCGATCACCACACATCTTGCATTCAAGGAAGGAGATTCACCTTGAGCCCCATAGACATGGCCCAAAGCTCCTTTGAGGGAAAGTCCAATCCCTACTGCAGTCCATGAATGCAGTTACTGAAATTCCTGACACAGGCGGCTAGGTCTGCAGCGGGCTCAGGAAGGCTCAGCAAGCGCAGCGTTACGGGGACTCTCCTGCAGCAGCAGCAGAGCTGGAGAGGCTTTGTTTCCCGTCCACTGAAAAGGCCTTGTCTTCTGTGCTGTAGTCAGCCCTGCAGTGTGTTATCTGACTGAGTCTGGGGTGCTAAACCAAACTTGCATTCCTGGAATAAATCCCACTTAGGCATTGTGTTTAATTATTTTCATGTAACTTATTAAATTGCAATACAAATTGAATATTTTTGGTTGTAAAAAATTGTCGGAGATAAAGAGACCCTTCATCAAAGAAGAAATATGAATAACCAATAAGCATGAAAAATTGTATTATCATAAGTAGTCTCAGATATCAGATACAATGGCAGACCACTATACATATTTATAAAGTTGTTAAAAAATACATATATCATTGCTGATCAACAGCTGTTGATAGAGGTAGTCCTAGGTACTGCACTAGGGTCTTTTCAAGAGTCAGTTCTTCGCATCAGGTGGCCAAAGGATTGGAGTATCAGCTTCGGCATCAGTCCTTCCAATGAATATTCAGGACTGATTTCCTTTAGGATGGACTGGTTGGATCTCCTTGCAGTCCTAGGGACTCTCAAGAATCTTCTCCAACATCACAGTTCAAAAGCACTAATTATTCGGCACTCAGCTTTCTTTATAGCCCAACTCTCACATCCATACATGACTATTGGAAAAACCATAGCCTTGACTAGATGGACCTTTATTGGCAAAGTAATGTCTCTGCTTTTTAATATGCTGTCTAGGTTGGTCATAGATTTTCTTCCAAGGAGCAAGCGTCTTTTAATGTGTAATATTGAATAATAATAATGGTTGAGTAATAAATGATAAACACAAAGATTTACCTATAACAATGCTCTGAAATATTGTGTTTATTTGAAAAACATAGTTGGAAATAATAAGAGTTAGTTAAATACATTATGTTTTATACACAGTAACACCAGGTAGTCACTACAAATGATATGGTTTCATGACATGTAGTGTCATTCACATTATATTGCTAAGATATCACTTATAAAGCAGTATGTATAACGTTGTAGAGTGGATGTGACCCCAAAACCCTTTGCTGAAGCCCTGACCCCAGGTCCCTGAACGTGCATAGGGGGCCCATGAGCAGGTGGTGAGGGTTAAGTGAGGTCATAAGGGCAGAGGAGACCCAGCTGCCCCCACCCGTGTGAGGACACAGCACGAGGATGGAAGTCGCTGCCCTCCTCGGACGGGGAACCAGCCTGGCTGGCACCTTGATCTTGGGCATCCAGTCTCCAGAACTGGGAGAAGTGAGTGTCACCCAGTCTGTGGAGTTTCGTTATGGAAGCCCAAGCTGATTGACCATATGGTGCCTTCCACTTTCCATTTTTCTAAAGTGAAATCTGTGTGTAGGAGAGGGAACAAGTACTACCTGAAACTTTCTCAGAATTGTGGGATTCTTGCTAAGTTTTGTTTCAATGTCTCTCTTTATTTTAAATTGGATGCACAAATTTTTCAATGAAAGCACAATAGTTTTTAAACTAGAAGCAGGGAATAAAAAAAATAAAAACTTGGCCAAAGTCTTGAGTTCTGAATAAAAGAATCAAAGAATGCTCCTTCACAGTGCTTCTAGGCGACTGTATAAATCAGTTTCTGGGCCTCTGCAATCTAAATATTATAAAAGTAAATGTTACATTAATTTATTGGTGCCAGAATAAATGTTAGAAAATTTAAATCTTATAGTATTTTATTTTTTAAAAGACATATACACATATATAGACATAATAGAGGATTCTGAGAAAGTGTTTTTTGAAGAAAAAGAAATAAACAAAACACCATTGCAATCAGGTTCTTAAAACATCTGATAAATCACTTTCATGTAAATTTCATCTGGTGAATTTAGAATGGTGATACTGCAACTGAAAGGAAACATGAAAACACAGGGTTACAACCAAGAAAAACCTTCTGCTGCAATATATTATAACTACAGATATGTATTTACACACATGCATTTAAAGGGCTTCCCACGCGGTGCTAGTAGTAAAGAACCCTCCTGCCAAAGCAGGAGACGTAGACACAAGTTCAGTGCCTGGGTCTGGGAGATCCTCCGGAGGAGGGTGTGGCAACCACCCCGGTATTCCTGCCTGGAGAATCCGTGGACAGAGGGGCCTGGGGGGCTACAGTCCATGCAGGTGCAAAGAGGCGGACACGACTGAAGCGACTTAGCACGCACGCATGTGCTTAAAACTTACACATACATTTATGTTTAACGTTAATGCACAACGTTAGCCCTTCCGAAACAGCAGGACCGATGCTGCCAGCATCCCCAGTGGTGCCCCCAGGATGGAGGCAGCACAGACACAGGGCCGTTGGGCTGGGGTCTCTCAACAGAGACACATGGGTCATCGGCCGGAGTGAGACACGAACGGCCCTGAGAAGGTCACGTGTCCTTGAAGTTGCGCTGACTTTCAATGCATGGTCGTATTTCAATTTAAATAACCTTATGGTGGGTGCTCCCATTGATTTTTAAGGCAGAACAATGCAGATAATAAATGTTTTCATTTTTGTATTCTTAGTCAGGAAGTCAATACAGCAATCTCACAGCATTTTTTAAAATAAATTTCAACATATTTCTGTGAAATGGAAGGTAGATGTAAAGTAAGTCATGTCTGCAATCTGTCAAGTGTTTTACGATGATGTCTATGTCATTTTAGTCATAACATTTGTGCAAAAATCACTTAAGCTGCACAAACCACATGCTTCTGATGAATAAAGGCATATTTGGCAAAATGCAAGTGAACTAATTAGAAATTCTTTACGTCCTGCTTTTCAAATCCTGCAGAGCCTACGCATCACCTGTGGATCTTTTCAAAACAGGTCCCTGTGCCTCGAGCTTCCCGAAGACCTTGGGGTGTGTTTTATGCTCTTCACCCACTCCCTGTCCCAGGGTCACCTCTCCACCTCTGCTGAGGGGCGCCCCCCAACCCCGTAGCTGCCGAGGTGAGTCTGGGCCTCTGCTCACGCCTGCCTGGCCTGGTGGGGTTCTCCAGGGCGCTGACGGCCCCACCTGCGTAACAGCGCTTCCAGAAGCTTCCTTCTCTCTTCTGCAATTGGGGACCGACTTGCTAAGCCCTCACTCTAGGGCTGAGCCACAGGTTCCCTATCCTAATCGCCCTGCGTTCTAGGTCCCCGTGTTGCGACCTTCCCCGGTTACAGAAGTCAGACTCCACTGTAGCAGCTTAGGGGGTGGCGGCCCTCCTGAGTCCACCTGAGCCTCTGGTCCGTGCATCTGTCCGTCTGCGATGCCCCGCTTCAGCCCGCTCCTGCCTCAGCGGCGCTGGCGGCCTCAGGCTGTTCCGTTCAAAGCCCACCGTGCGCTCACCTCCAGAGTCCGCTCCCCCCAGCTTCTGTGGGACGCAGAGCTTTGTGTGCTGGCAGGGATTTCAGCGCCTGAGCACAAGCAGGACCTTTCAAAAGACACGAACGTGGCCAGTTGGCAGGAGGAGCGAGGCACATGCAGACACACAATAAAGGAAAATGTATCAGTTAGACAAGTGCAGGGCTTCGGGAAGAAGCCAGGAGAGTCCTTTATATCTAGAACAGTATACAGCTAAGCATGTTTTCTCTGCTTAGGGGTTTATTACCACTCCAAAGAGTACAGGAAATAAATTAATACTCAAATGTCACTTCTTAGATAAAGTCAGTAGCCAATGTGAAAAAGTTCTAACACATTCTCTCAGATGCAGCAAGGAGCGTGGCCCAGAGCACCGGCTGCCGTGCGTCTGTGGTCTCCGGGGCCCCCTCGGCTCTGCCCAGTCCATGGGGTCCTGCGCATCTTTCCCGTCACCTTCTCTGGCTTAGTGCCATCATCTGCGAATAACAACAGTAGCATTTACCGCCCTGGAATTCTGAAAGGATTAAGCACCTCTGTGTGCCTGGAACAGAGACTGCGCTGAATGCCCGTCACCATCTCTGCTCACCACCCCCTCCTCAGACTGTTGACCCGGCTGCCCCCCAAACGCGCCGCCATTGCTGAGGCTCCCCATCTTCTCAGCAGACAGCCTGCCTCCTCACTCGCAGACTAATCTACTGGGCACCTCGGTGATCGGCTCCAGGCCCCTCACCCATCCCAGGTGAGAGGCCCCCTCGTCCAGGTGAGGGGACTCCGCTGAGCCCGAGGTTCGTCGCCTCTGGTTTGCCTGCAGTTCGGCTCCATCAGGCCCCATGTCTGGGTTTTCTCTACGCCCCACCCCGCAGACAGATGCTCCTCCACGGCTGCAGGTCTGACCAAAGCTATCCTCCACGTCTCCCTCTCTGGAGAGGCCCCCCGAGCTGTGGGGCCACGTGTCTCTTCGTCTCAGGCTCCCAGGAGGATACACTGCAGCTTTCTTGTGGGACATCCCACATCTTTTCAGTGTGTTCCTGACACTTAGCCCTGCAACGCTTTTGTCATTATAACTCTCAAAAGTCACACCACTAACTTAGTGAAAATCTATACCCAGCTCTTGCCATGCGTCTTTAGGGGTCAACAGAGGTTCTGTGTTACTTACCTGTGCATAGCAGATAGCAAAACTGATACAGAAAAAGAAAAATAGACTGCATTTCAACTAGCAATGAAATGGGGACAGCTGCAGCCCTGGGTCAGGGCA